TCAGGACTGAAGAAAGCGTGCAAAAATGTCAGGTTATAGGTAAAACCAAGTACACCCCCCGCCCTGCCCCATGCATTCATCAGCAGTCAGCCCATAGTGTTATTATGGCAACCCTGGGATATATGGTGCCTTAACTAAGCTAGCAAGGCAGAGAAGTCTCCAAGGCCAAATCCCATGAGAACAGGCCGAGGGGTACAAGTTAGGAAATGGTTATGGCTACTACTGGCATTCACTCTAACAACACATACACTCCCCTCAGGAATTCCCTCCCCCCTAATACATGGCAAGGAAAGCAGTGAAGCAAAACGAAGTGAAACTGAAACCTTGACAGGTAGTCATATTAGTTTGCAGTAGAAGACCTAGATTTAAGTCCAGTAGCACGATTTCCAGGGGATCGTTGGAGAGTCAAAGCTGCCTTCGTCAGATACTAGTGTCTGACAAAGGGAGCTTTCACTCTCAAAAGCTGACACCCTGGTTTCTTTATTTGCAAATCCAGCACGTCACCAGCCACATAAAACTAATATCAATAATGTCCTGTCCACATACTAAACTGGAGTTTATTCTTAAAATTTTTAGTGACAAAAATAAGGGACTGATCTCAGCACTTTACGACTTATTGCAATCTGAATCGAATTGTAAACCATTGCCTTATCAGTCGGTCTGGCAACGAGATTGCGATTTGACTCTAAGTGACGAGGTATGGAAAAAAATTTGGAAACAAAAAAATAACACTCCTAGCGCAATATCAATATGACCTCTGGGGGAAGGTGCTTACCGGACTTTTGTTCTGCCCATTGTTTGGTTTAGTTGTTTGGGGCAATTTAAACCAAACAGCTGAGTGGCAGAGGATCTGCAGCAGAGTTGTTTAAACCTAACAGCTGACAGGTGGATCTGTCCCACTGTTAGGTTGAAATGGCTGTGAGCCATTTCATTGGTCAGTTTCACTCCCCCCCCCCCTTTAAAGCAGGGGAAAGCAAAACTAATCAGTGAAATGACTGCCAGCCATTTATTCCTTATGGCAGGGTGGGTTTAAATGTCTGAGCCATTAAACCTGTTGCTTTCGCTCCCCCCACTTCAAAGGCCACTTCTGCACTGTCATTTTTTGTCACTCGTTTGTCCCTATTGCTTCAGGGATTTCCCCCTCCCCCAATGTGTTTTGCTCTCTCTAGTAGTCCCAGAGAAGGTAAAACACATGTGGGAAAGGGGGAGGAACCCAAAGCAATAGGGACAAAAATGACAGTGTGGAAGTGGCCAAAGTGGGAGAGAGGGGGAACCAAACTAGTTGGACCAGGTCAGTTCAGGTTGGGGCCTTTTGGCTCGGTGGGGTTCAGGGTTCAGTTTGGGAGCTGCCCTGAACCCCGAACCGAACTGGGCTTTTTAGGTTCATGCCATTTCCTACTTCTTATTATTATGATTCCTTGCATTGTATCTTTGCATCCTGAATCCCTTCTTTGCCACAATGCTCCCACCTTCTGACAGGATATAAAGTTCAGGGATCTCAATTCCTACTTGTATCTGATGAACGGAGCTTTGAATCTCAAAACCCTGGAAATCTTGTCGGTCTTTAAGGTGCTACTGGACTCCAGGGGGGGGGGGAGTGTGTGTGTGTAAAAGTATGAGTCACAAAAACTAATTATTTAATCAGAAAGAATGTTTGGGAGACAAGCAATGTGCATCTGACTGACATCACACACGCAATGGGGTGGGGGTTGTATCTGCTTGGCATGCAGGAGGTCCCAGGTACAATCCCCAGCATTTCCATTTAAAAGGTTCAGGTAGTAGGTGATGTGAAAGACCTCAGCCTGAGACCCTGGAGACCTGCTGCCAGTCTGTGTAGACTTTGATCACCTGAGTAGACGTTGATACTGATGTTGACGGACCAAAGGTCTGATTCAGTATAAGGCGGCTTCGTGCATGTTCGTACGTGTTCAACAGTCGCAAAACCCAACTGTGTTAACCAAGCTTCTTAACAGAATCTAGAGGTAATATGATGTGATAAATGAAAAACACTGAAACTATGTGGCTTCTGCCTATTCTACTTTTGTTATGTATTTGCTGCCTTCATTGGCAAACAAAGCTTTGTTAAATAGCAGCTCAGGAGATTGACCCTCAAGGTAGGTTGGTTTCGATACCACTCGCCTGAACACATGGAAGACAGGGTACTAAGAATCAGATCTCATCTTTGATTCCCAACATTAGATGCTCTTTCATATTCAGACCAGGCCTCAAAATGATAATGTAGCATTTGGATATAAAGCTGAAACCCAGTAACCCAGCACTGGAAGCCAAAAGATCTGCACGGCTACCATGTACTTCCCCCTTTGGTGCTTCTATCTATCTATCTATCTATCTATCTATCTACCTACCTACCTACCTACCTTTTACAGTTCCGCAGGGCTTGTAAGATGGAGCTATTCCACCAGGATTTTGGGTGAGGCAGCGAACGTCAAATGTCACCTGGCCCCTCCTGTTACCATCTGTTATCATCTATTACAAGGTCTTCAATTTTTGAGGACTCTGAACAACAACCCAACTTGGTTTACTCAAGGTTAGGGTTAGGGGATTTAGCCCTCTCCACTTTTAACTGAATTATACCAGGACATCATGGAAATAGTCTGAAGTAGTTTGAACGCCATCATTGTAGGGTTTAAGATTTTACAGTTTTTAATGTCTGATTGTATTGTCCTATCAGCAATGCTGTAACCGACCCTGAGCCTGTTTGTGGGAAGGGCGGGATAGAAATCAGACCAAATAAATAAACACCTCAACTGGGTTATGTTTCAGCACCCAAATATTGATCCGGAAATCCCCTGATTGGCAAAGTAGTTGCCACCTCACCAAATGGATGGATGGGAATCAGGAGCCAGAGGGAGTGAAGGATTCAACTTTCCACAGAGAATGGCACGTGTTTCCTTACCTCTCCTCCACCATTTTCTCCCGCTCGGGTAAGGTTTTCTGGCTGCGGACTGTGGCTTCCTTGGGGAAGTAGATGGCCCAACTTGGAAATGCCCCCCAAACAATACCCTACAGAAGGCTAATGTGAGGCCTGCGGTCTCCCAGCTGTAGAGTGGGGCTAGCTCAGCCATTGCCATGTAAAATGTTTGCAAGGAGCCTGAGCACACTGAGTACATGGGTAGGACAAGGGGGTTTCGTTCAAGGGAGGAACTCTGAATCACAAGGGCAGCCACTACAAGGGGGCTGGTATGAGGGGGTACATGTATAAAGTTGGGAGGGCTGCTTGCTGGGTCTAGCAGTGGCCCATGACACTGCTGGCATCTGATAAGCCACACAGCGTGGTCAGGCAGGGGTGTGTGTGTGGTGAGCTCCAGACAGAAGGACGCTGCTGGCAGTGACAGCCCCTTCGAATGTGGCGTGCAGGGGTTGTGAAGGGGCACACCAGTTGAAACGACAGATGTCTGGCATGGCCCATCAGCTGGGCCATCCCATCCCCCTTTTCGCAGTTTGCAGGGACAAAATATCAACTGTCCATGGTTGGCCTGGCCCCAGTGTCTCCCGATGAGGGAACTGAAGCCAATGTTAGACCTATAGGCTGACATATGGGTTTTTGCTTCAAAAGACCAGGCCTCTGTGGCTCAGTGTGAGCAACTGGTTGTTTTTCCTGTCTCTGACCACTGGTCACCCTAGCTGAGATCCCAGTACGCTGAGGCAGAAATGTCAGAACTCAATTGTAGTTAAGCTACCAAAGAGCTCTAGGGAGGTAAAGGACTAAGAGAAGAAGATACTGAGGGGGGGGTCTGGTTTGTGAATGTACCAAGTGTCGTCTAAAGGAAAGAGGGAAAAAATATGATTCTGTATCAGAAAATTCCTCCTAGAAATGAAGCATTCAGAGTATGCCGAAAGGCAAATCTCACCTGAGAGGCTACGAGTTTCTTTGGGTATTGTGTCAGCAAATTTTAACCCCTTTGTAGACACAGTAATCTGTTGATAACAAATCAAGGCAGATTAGGATTCAGGGAACTGGGATATATAAGGAAGGTTGGGAAGATGGTAATAAGGATAAAGTTTTATTTACGGCCGAAGCCAGCAGTTAGGAAGCTGGTAATATGTTTCTGATCTGTAGGTTTTTTAATAGCTGCCAGAGTCCATTGTTGTTAACCTAACTGCCCGAAGCATAACCTGGAATATCAGATTCAGGTGGGGTAGCCATGCTGGTCTGAAGTAACCGAACAAAGTTTGAGTCCAGTGGCATCTTTAAGACAGTTTTTTTTGGTGTAGACTTTCATGTAAAGAAGTGTACATTCACACGGAAGCTTAGAATTAAACTTCGTTGGTCTTAAAGGTGCCACTGGACTCAATTTTGTTCTCTGGAATATCAGTATCAGATACCATTCTCTCCCTATGCATTTACACTTCTTGCAAGCACAAGTGTTTGGTCAACAGCAAATCTGCTCCCTAAATATCTGTTAATTCTTATTAGTTGAGGGACCCTAAAAGGACATTTTTGGGAGAACTGTGTGTGTTTAAGGAGATAGCTTGTAGGAGATTGCGTTGAAGAAACTCAATGACAAATTAGAGGATTTGCACTCTGCTGTCTATTTATTGCAATCAAAGAAAACAGCCACCCAAAAGGAGACCGACTTGACTTAAGCAGTTACAAGTTAAGTACGAGTTTCACACATGCGCATACTTTCATTTGGCACTAAAGATTTCCACTAAAGAACACCTGGTATGTTTCACATCCATTAAGCGATAAGCAAAGCCAAATAGCTCAAGATGGGTAGCCATACTAGTCTGCCTGTAGCAGTAGAAAAGAGCAAGAGTCTAGTAGCACCTCACTTCTTCAGATACAACAGTGACTCATGAAAGCTCACACCCTGTCACAAATTTTGTTAGTCTTTAAGGTGCAACTGGATCCTTACTCTTTTCTACTGCTAACTAATAGACTTAGACCACTTTCCTCCAGTTCTTCTCTACCTTGAGGTTTTGCTGTTTTTACTGTTCATGCTCCAGCAACTTTGGCAAAACTTATTACTGCTACGCGACTTGCTCTTTTGCTTTTTATGGCTGTCAGCTCAGAATTAGCTTCAAAACAGAGTCAGTCTAGCAGAATTTCTTTCTCAGTAGTTCCTCAGAAGTTCTTGGACAAGCTGGACAGGCTTGGGCCAAGTTCGAGATCCAGCATCCCCAGGCATGTCACTTATGATCTGCCTAAGAGAGACATACATCTGTTTGGCGTTAATGAGAGCAGTTAGGTAATTTCCTATTGTTTTTCGATGATCCTTAGGGAACAAAGGCAAAATGACTTAGGACTTGCTTGAGAGGTTGAATTCCTGGTATTTTAATGGGTAGCGGGGAAAGCCAAAGAAGGCAACATGAACCAGTGTTCAAAATAATAAGACACTAAGTTGGGGAAATTCACATGGAATTTTTGTGTTTTCCCTTAGTGGTTAAATTTTCATGCCAAGAACTATGGCTAAATCATGGGGCCCGTACAACAGACATCTTATGATTTCTCATTACAAGACCCTGAGCCAAGTGACCTTAAGGACTTGGACAACCTTCTTCATTGAGTGACCCCATGAGACAAGGGGGAAGATACCTTGAAAAGGGTGTAAACGTAGGAGCAGGGCTCCATAGTTTCAGAGACGGCCTCTCTCTCTTGCTGTCTCAGTGATCTTTTCAGTTATTCTTTACTGTCAGGGCTGCAATGGAATACCTAACACACAATGGTGTTCCTCCTTTGGGTATTCCTGCTCAGCCAGATGGTAAGGAAGCTAGTCCTAGGCGTCATGGCCAGGGGCTCAACCTCAGACTCTGCCTTCTGTTTTGGTGGGCTTTTTTTTTGGCCTCCATCTCTGCCCTCCAGTGGCTCAGACCCACCTGTCCCATTTGACACATGGGTGCCCTTACCCAGGAGACTTTTAAGTGGGGGTTAAAACTTTGCTCAGGGTGCTGCCCTATTTTCCCACTGGTGTCTGCCATCACTCTGCCTGGCAAGTGGGGAATGAGCTATGACTCAGACATGGATCTAGGGCTGCCAGCTGGGGCCTGGGAAATTCCTGATGATTTGAGGGCAGTGCTTCAAGAGGACAGAGTTTGGGAAGGGGAAGGGACTAAGCAAGGATATGATAGCCTGCCTTCAGAAGCTCCAGTTTGCTTCAAAGGAAACCTGGTCTCTATGGTAACAGGAGAACATCAGGGCCCAGCTGTAAGTTGGCAACCCTACATGACTCATCTCTGGGGCATGGTGGAGTGTTGCTGACATCACTGACCTCTGTTGTGGTTGTGCAGTTGCTGGGTCTTTCCTCCCTGTCCTCTGGTACTCCAATGGGAGGGGGTTTAAGGGGATATGGCTGTGTTGGCAGGTGGGGGCTGGATGCACCCCCTTCAGCCACTCAGGGGAACATCACTGGGCTCAGATCTGTGACTGGTGGGTGTTGCCGCAGTTGTTAAGAGTCTCTGGCACACTAACTCTGCAATCTGGGCCTTGAAGAGTGGTGCATATGGTTCCTCTTTCTCCACAGAATGTCTGGGGGCGGGTAACCATCAGGGCCAGCATCGTAGCACAGTCACACCACTGTATCTATAATGAGGCTGACAAGGTCTCAGGATTTAGCAGCTAATATCTGAAATCTTTTATATAATTATACAGAACTATGGAATACATTATTACACTGTTTTATTGCATTGCCTTCCATTTTGTAAACCAATTTATTTGATGTAACATCCTTCCACACACTAAGCATTCTGATGGTTTCTCACCCCTGTGAATTCTTTAATGGGAACTAAGGCTTCCACAGTGACTGAAACTCTTCCCTCTCTCTAGGCATTCATATGCTTTCTCCCCTGTGCGCTTTGATGGGAACTGAGGCTTTCGCTGTGATGGAAACTTTCCCCTCACTTCTGTAATTCATATTGTTTCTCCCCAGTGTTAATACTTCAACGGGAAGTAAGGTATCCATTGTAACTGAAGCTTTTCCCAGACTCTAGATATTTATATGGTTTCTACTGTGTGTGGATTCTGCGATTGGAAGTGAGGCTTCCAGCATTTATATTTTTTCTCCCTAGGCTGAACTGTTTAATGGGAAGTAAGGTTTCCACTTTGATGGTAGCTTTCCCCATATTCCATTATTTTATAGTGTTTCTCTTCTATGTGAATTCTTTGACGGGAAGTGAGGATTCCCATCAAATTCTCCTGTGACAGAAGCCTTTTTCACATTCCAGCATTTATATTTTCTCTCTCCTGTGTGTTTTTTTTAAAAAAAAATGAATAAGGTTTCCACTATGACTGAAGCATTTTCCACACTCAAGGCATTTATACTTTTTCTCCCCTGTGTGAATCTTTTGATGGAAAGTAAGTTTCCTTTAGGGCTCAAGCTTTTTCCACAATCCAGGCATTTATATATTTCTTTTCCTCCTTTGAGAATTTTTTGATGAGAAGTAAGGATTACACTATAGCTGAAACATTTTCCATAGTCAAGGAATTTATATATTTTTTTCTTCTGTGTTTATTCTTTGATGGGAAGTAAAGTTTCTATTATGAATGCAGATTTTTCCACACGCTAACCAATTATATTTTTTTCTCCCCAGTGTGCATTCTTCGATGGGATGTAAGGTTTCCACTCTGGCGGAAACTTTTTCCACACTCCAGACATTTATATGGTTTCTCACCGGTGTGAATCCTTTGATGGGAAGTAAGGTTTCCTCTCTGACTGAAACCTTTCCCACACTCTTGACATTTATATTGTTTCTCCCCAGTATGAATACTTTGATGGGAAGTAAGGTATCCTTTCTGACTGAAACCTTTTCCACACTCCAGGCATTTATACGGTTTCTCCCCTGTGTGAATTCTTTGATGGACAGTGAGGCTTCCACTGTGACGAAAGCTTCTCCCACACTCCAGGCATTTATACGGTTTTTCCCCGGTGTGAATTCTTTGATGGGAAGTAAGGTTTCCTCTCTGACGAAAGCTTTTTCCACACTCCAGGCATTTATACGGTTTCTCCCCTGTGTGAATTCTTTGATGGACAGTGAGGCTTCCACTGTGACTGAAGCTTTTTCCACATTCAAGGCACTTATGTTTTTTCTCCCTGTTGTGAATCCTTTGATGGGAAATAAGGTTTCCTCTCTGATTGAAACATTTCCCACACGCCTGGCATCTATATTGTTTCTCTCCAGTATGAATATGTCGATGGAAAGTAAGGTATCCTTTCCGGCTGAAACCTTTTCCACAGTCCTGGCATTTATACGGTTTCTCCCCGGTGTGAATTCTTTGATGGACAGTGAGGCTTCCACTGTGACGGAAGCTTTTTCCACACTCCAGACATATATATGGTTTCTCCCCGGTGTGAATCCTTTGATGGGAAGTAAGGTTCCCTCTCTGACTGAATCCTTTCCCACACTCCTGGCATTTGTATTGTTTCTCCCCAGTATGAATACTTCGATGGAAAGTAAGGTATCCTTTCTGACTGAAGCCTTTGCCACACTCCTGGCATTTATATGGTTTCTCCCCAGTGTGAATTCTCTGATGGACCTTGAGGCTTCCAATGTGACGGAAGCTTTTTCCACACTCCAGACATTTATATTTTTTTTCCCCAGTGTGAATTCTTTGATGGAAAGCGAGGCTTCCACTTTGACTGAAGCTTTTCCCACACTCGAGGCATTTATGTTTTTTCTCCCCGGTGTGAATCCTTTGGTGCGAAGTAAGGTTTCCTCTCTGACTGAAACCTTTTCCACACTCCTGGCATTTATATCGTTTCTCCCCAGTATGTATACTTTGATGAGAAGCAAGGTATGCTTTCTGGCTGAAGCCTTTTCCACACTCCAGGCATTTATACGGTTTCTCCCCAGTGTGAATTCTTTGATGGACAGTGAGGCTTCCACTGTGACGGAAGCTTTTTCCACACTCCGGGCACTTATATGGTTTCTCCCCGGTGTGAATTCTTTGATGGGAAGTAAGGTTTCCTCTCTGATGGAAGCTTTTCCCACACTCCAGGCATTTATATTTTTTCTCCCCGGTATGAATTCGTTGATGGAAAGTGAGGCTTCCACTTTGACTGAAGCTTTTTCCACACTCCAGGCATTCATGTTTTTTCTCCCTGTTGTGAATCCTTTGATGAGAAGTAAGGTTTCTTCTCTGACTAAAACCTTTTCCACACTCCTGGCATTTATATCGTTTCTCCCCAGTATGAATACTTCGATGGAAAGTAAGGTATCCTTTCTGGCTGAATCCTTTTCCGCACTCCAGGCATTTATATGGTTTCTCCCCTGTGTGAATTCTTTGATGGACAGTGAGGCTTCCACTGTGACGGAAGCTTTTTTCACACTGGAGGCATTTATATGGTTTCTCCCCGGTGTGAATTCTTTGATGGGAAGTAAGGTTGCCTCTCTGACTGAAACCTTTCCCACACTCCTGGCATTTGTATTGTTTCTCCCCAGTATGAATACTTCGATGGAAAGTAAGGTATCCTTTCTGGCTGAAGCTTTTTCCACACTCTAGGCATTTATATGGTTTCTCCCCAGTGTGAATTCTTTGATGGACAGTGAGGCTTCCATTGTGACAGAAGCTTTTTCCACACTCCAGGCATTTATAGTTTTTCTCCCCAGTGTGAATTCTTTGATGAAAAGTGAGGCTTCCACTTTGACTGAAGCTTTTTCCACACTCCAGGCATTTATGTTTTTTCTCCCCAGTGTGAATCCTTTGATGGGAAGTAAGGTTTCCTCTCTGACTGAAACATTTTCCACACTCCTGGCATTTATATCGTTTCTCCCCAGTATGAATACTTCGATGGAAGGTAAGGTATCCTTTTTGGCTGAAGCCTTTGCCACACTCCAGGCATTTATATCGTTTTTCCCCAGTGTGAATTCTTTGATGGACAGTAAGGCTTCCACTGTGGCGAAAGCTTTTTCCACACTCCTGGCACTTATACGGTTTCTCCCCAGTGTGAATTCTTTGATGGGAGGTAAGTGTTCCATTCTGACAAAAGCTTTTCCCACACTCCAAGCATTTATATTTTTTCTCCCCGGTGTGAATTCTTTGATGGAAAGTGAGGCTTCCACTTTGACTGAAACTTTTCCCACACTCTAGGCATTTATGTTTTTTCTCCTTGCTATGAATCCCTTGATGGGACGTAAGGTTTCCTCTCTGATTGAAACCTTTTCCACACTCCTGACATTTATATTGTTTCTCCCCAGTATGTATTCTTCGATGGAAGGTAAGGTATCCTTTCTGGCTGAAGCCTTTGCCACACTCCAGGCATTTATATGGTTTCTCCCCGGTGTGGATTCTCTGATGGACAGTGAGGCTTCCACTGTGACGGAAGCTTTTTCCACACTCCAGGCATTTATATGGCTTTTCCCCAGTGTGAATTCTTTGATGGGAAGTAAGGTTTCCTCTCTGATTGAAACCTTTTCCACACTCCTGGCATTTATATTGTTTCTCCCCGGTATGAATACGTCGATGGAAAGTAAGATATCCCTTCTGGCTGAAGCTTTTTCCACACTCCAGGCATTTATATGGTTTCTCCCCAGTGTGAATTCTTTGATGGACAGTAAGGCTTCCACTGTAACAGAAGCTTTTCCCACACTCCAGGCATTTATATGGTTTCTCCCCGGTGTGAATTCTTTGATGGGAAGTTACGTTAGCCTTGCATCCAAAGCCTTTCCCACACTCCAGGCATTGAAATACTTTCTTTGTGTTATGGGTATTCCAATGCATTTTAGTGTCTGAATTTTCAGTAAACTTATCCCCACTTTCATTTTCATCTTTCCAGTTTTCTCTTTTAAATAGTTTTTGATGGAGTTGAACTTCCTGATAATTAATACCTTGAAAAAGATTGCAATGATTCCTCTCTTTAAGAGGGTATTTTCCTTCCTCCTTGATCAGGATATCACAATATTCAATGCTGTCTTTTACATCTGGATATATGTCTTCTTTCTTAATTAGTGGATGCTCTTTGGCTTCATTTGCTGACCCCCATGAACCTCCTCCTGAAAGAAAAAGAAACCTGTCATGAACACTGAAATAAAATAGAACGTGAAAATTAGGGAATGTACTAAATGAACAGCTGTGGACAATGCAAGAATAGAAAAGCATGGTATTTGTATACACCTGAAAGGCTTGGTGAAGAACCTGGGTTTGTGACATATTAAAATCTATTCCCTAATTAGACATTACAATTAACAGTATAGCTTTTACCATTCCCCTTATTAGCAGAGGGACATTTCTCAGATGTGACCTGGAAGTCTGATGCTTCTCTGATGTAAACTAAAGCTTAATCCCGACAAACTGGAAGGTGCTTCTGGTGGGTGGAAGGTGCATACATTTTGTGTGTTTGTGGGGGGTAACTTTAAGTGTTTTAAAATGTGGTTTTATTGTGTTTGCTTTAATTTGTTATCTGCCACGGTGGTCCTTGTGAGGGCAGAAAGACAGGGTATAAATTTTATGAATAAATAAATAAGTCAAAAGAACTGCCCCAAAAGAAAGCCAATGAGCCCCTCTTCAGGCATAGTTCTGTGCTGATTAACCTGAGAAGTCTGATAATGCAGACCACAGTCTTTCTCTTGCCTTCTATGAAGAACAAGGGACAATATCTCCTTGAAAGGTTCAGCACCGCACCTCTCATTTGAGAAATAAAACCTGGGTCTCCATCTTGAAGAATTTGGGGGGGGGGGGCATATCAAATTTACATTGAAAAGGCAACCCCAACCTTAGCTGAGCTGAGTTCAAGAGACACACCCATTGAAGGGGGTGGGCTCCTCCTGCTTGCTGCCTCCATTAAAAGAAAACCAAAAGACACCCAAAATACACACATGTCCTTCCACCAAGGCTCTTTCAACAAGTCCATGCTCTGAAACATTATTCCACTTCCTGATGGTTCCTAGAAGAGTCCCTGACTGCAGAGATAACCCTGCCTTCCCTTCGCCTCCAGCGCTACCAGTAGTGGGGAAGAGCAGCAGCCCTGAGCCCTCTGTTGCCATCGATGGGAGCAGCACTCTTTGCCTTCCACGGGGGACAGCTGGTTCTCCAGAGACTGGGCTGCATCCATCTCAGCTTCTTGCAGCGCACTCTGTGCCTGCTTACCTCAAGAGCCTGTGCTGTCCCATGCTATGGAGGGAGGGGATGGCTATTCCTAGATCAGGAGCTGGTTTAGGAGGTTCATCTCTCGCTTTCTCCACTGTAAAATGCTTGCTGTAAAATGTATCATACCTAATTCAGTTTATATAATGAATGGTGATAACTTTTCAAAGATAATATAGGAAAAATTACCATCTTGGATCTTCTCATCTACACTGAAATTTTCATTAAGGTTAGATATACATTTTAATGTTTTGTGCTTTGTATTTTCTGACACTATGCCCTGTACATCGCCCAGAGCCCAGCACAAGCCGGGATGGGGCGATTAATAAATCTAATTAACAATAACATGGCCACCACCACCACAACAGTAATAACATGGCTGCCCCAACAACTTGATGGTGGATTGCTCTACTCCCCTTCCTCTGTCCGAAGGTGACTCATTTTCAATGCTGCCCTCTGCTGGGGCTTCCAAAGGACAAACACTGTGTTCACCTGAGGGCTGTCTGCGGTTGCTTTGGGTCATCTCTCTTCATGCCCTTTTCAGACTGCTCCGGCCCTAGAGTCCAACTGCGTCACTTATTAGATGGCCTGCCCTATTCACTGCATTTCCTTACACCGTCTAATCCACCTCGAGTCTCAGTGAGAAAGGCAGACTATAAATCACATGAATATACGTGTGATGGGTGGGAACTATCCTTGCCTGAGAGCTCCTGCCAGACAGAGTGGAAAATACTTGGCTGGATGGACCAGTGGCCTGGCTTAGCAGAGGGCAGCTTCATATCTTCAAGGTGTACATATTTTTATTTATTTAGATTATTTATATATCTGCCTTGCCTCCGGGGGGGCAATTCAAGACCCAACGCAGTTAATAACCCTGAAGAACTGCACCCAGGTTTATAGCCTACTCTAGCATCTTTCATTAGAAGCAACTATGGGGACAAATTCTTGCTATGAGGAATGAGAGATGTTCTGGGCACAATTTGAGGTCAGGCTATTCTGCCCTAGAAAGTCAAGACTATTCTGTCCTAGAAGAAAATTAAGAAAAGAGAGCAAGAAAAAGCTGATGGTGCAGTGGGAAAGTAAGAAATGTATTGATGAAATGGAAACTTCTTATTTTCTCACTGTGCCATGGGGACATTTTCCTTTTTTTTTCTGTCTTGGTGACTGGTGCAGCCCAGGCCCGTGGTTTTTATGGGCCCCTCCCTCAATTCTCAGCTCCCCCTCCCTCCCCCTATCCCCCGATCAATCGCCGCAGTCAGGAGAAGAGCAGAGGAAGGCTTGGGCTCCTTCCCGGTGGTGTCCCAGATTTCATCAGAACTGGGTATTCGGGCAGGACGACTAATGTGGTGGTGGTGGGGAGGAGAGATGTGGCCTTCTTCTTTTCCCGGGGTGGGGGGAGTTGTCCCGGCCACGCGGTGGGGATGCAGCGAAAGGGAAGGGGGGAATGTCTTTTGACAGGGGTCGGGGGGCGTGGGCGATGCCGTGCACAGCAACTTGTAGGCGCAGGGTCCAAAGCCAGCTGCGAGGATGCTGCAAGAGGGACTGGGAAGGTCGAAGGAACTAGCTGTGGGGAAGGGAGGCGGCCAGTTCGCGATCAGCTCAGCCAGCCCTTCTGCGGCCCTTCGTTCGCCCCCTCCTGCAGCCACTGCCCAGAGAGGTCCGCCCCCTAGGCTGGAAAAACTTGATAGAAACCCACTAGCTCTTCGAAGGAACCCCAGAGCTCTCGGAGAGTCCCATTACGGACCTGGGCACATACCTGTCAATCTCTCCTTTTTGTCAGAGTCATGGAGAAAGAGCTCTTCCTCTTTCTCCAGCCAGGATATGAAGTCAGGTTTGCCAACCGCAGGTCCTTTTTTGAGGAGGAAACAAAACAACAATTAGGGCTCTTCCCTGTGCGAACAAATAGTCCAAGGCCACCTTGACTCTGTTCCTCCACAACTGTGGCAGCTAGACCACAGCTAATCTGTCTGGCTTTGTCAGATAGGGACCTGCTGCTTGCCCAGATGGGAACTAAGAAACTAAGAAACAGAAGGGAAACCAGGGGTGTTCTTACCCCAAGAGTCCCCCCACAGGGTACAATGCTTTAAAACTTCCTTGGATTCCAGGACCCTCCAAAGCCAGAGAGATGTTTGACTCTATCTTCTATCAACCCAGATGCAATAAATTGGCATCACAACAGGCAGAACACTTCCACTCCTCTATTGAGGCAGCTATGATGTGGAGCTCCAGGGCCCCACTCCCAAAATGCATCACAGTTATTACTGATGGTCAGTGTTTGGTCCATAACAGGACAATGACGAGGCATTCTATGCCTCTCAAAGATGTCCCCAACAATTCAGACTGGCCTCATCAAATACTTGATCATCTCCTTCCTCGTTAAGATTTCCACAGGGCTGACAATCATCCCATCCACTCCATGAGGGGCTCTGGCCAATGGGCATTTGTCACTCAGGTCCCCCACAAGAGACCCTTCATACCTCCTCTTTGTAATAGTCAAGGAGAAAAGTATACGACGGTCTCCCCAAGACCTCTGCTTTTCAGGTGGTTTTCTTCCCTGGACATTTCCCCACCATTTTAAGACACTTTTTCTAAGAAAGGTAGAGTATGTCCTGCTTTCTCCCCTTCTACTTTTCTTCCCCACACCTTACCTCTATGTTCATCCCTCCTCCCTCTCCTGCTTCAGAGCTCTGACCCTCTTTCCAGACAGGAGGGGAGCACCCTCCCTTGCCAAATGAAGTCTCACTGGACACCCACCTCTTCTGATGCTCAGGCACAGGACCACTAGTCAGGGGTCCCTTCTCTGCGATGAGAACCCCGAACCCTTCCCAGAACTGTATAAGGAGGGCAAAGGATAGTCAATGGGCCTGACCATAACATTCCTCATTAATGATGTCCTTACAGTGGACCGAGAAGTGGAAGCACCCACTCTTCAGAGCATGGTGGCCACGGAGAAGAGAATCCTTACCCAGGGAGGCCACGTTCCTGAAATTCTCCAACATGACTTCCTTGTACAGAGCTCTCTGGCCTGAGCTCAGCAGGATCCACTCCCCCTGGGTGAAATACACAGCCACCTCTCCAAATGACACCCCGCCCTGGAAGAAGAAGAAGGACTTTTAAAAATGGGAGGCCCAACACCAGCAGCCAATCATTGTTCCTTTATTTTTTCTGCAGCCCGATCTATTTTATGCATGCATTGGCGGCGGCGGCGGCAAATTTCAAGGTGTTCACTGGGACTTTCTCGTGTCAAACGTCCGGAGCCCTCAGCCCTCTTGGAAGCATGAAAGGATATTGTTTGGCCAAAGAGCCGTCCAGAGGGGTGGGCGTTTGTGTGCATCAGTGCAAAGCTTCTCTTGGGAGAGCAGCCAGTGCCACCAACTCTGCGCAAAGTTGGTGGCTCGGCAGAGCAAAGCGAGGAGGGGGCTCTCATGGAGTCTCTCCCCCAAGAAAGGGCACAAGTGCTGGAGACTGAGGCAGGCTTTGTCATGCCTGCCCCCGACGTGGCCTCAGAAGCAGGGCTTGACAGCCAGGAACAGCAGGACTTGACTCCTTTAACAGCTGCAGCCCGGGAAATGCCTAAGGGAATGGCCATCTCTCAGTCTGAGCCCTTTAGATTTATCTGCTGCATGGAGAAACTAAGCAGGCACTCCTTGCTTATGCTGTTGGAAGGCAGGCCAAGGCAGGAGACGATTTATGGGTACAGAGACCAAACAGGTCCAGTTTTAGAAACAAGAATATCCATGCCTGAATTCTACAGACTCCAAAGAGGAAGAGTACAGTTGAATTACAACCGCAGAAAAATCAAATAAGCATCAACACATCCTTTATTCCTAGACTGAACTGGTGCCAGGTTTAATGTTCATTTCATGTTGAATTTTCTTCCAGACTAGCTAAAGCATGCGTCTTCAGACCAAGGGCCGGTGTACAGTTGATAGGGATGTGTGCTCAGATATATCTGGTACCTTATTGGTATTCCTGGGTATATTTGGGTAACTGGAGGGTGTTTGGGATTCTCTGAAATGCCGGTTATCTGGGTCCCATAGATTTCCCAAAAATATTCAGCACTACCCAGGGCCAGCATTTTAATGCTCCCTGGTATGTTTTATCTACTTTTAAAAGGTTTCCTTGGTCAATGGGGAGGCAGATCCCAGGCATTACGGATGTGCAGCTGGAAAAAAAAGCACGGTATTTTTCAGCACAGATTTTGGGCATTAATACCAGTATTCAATGGTATTCAAGTTCCCTGATATCATTGCAGGATTCAGATTCGGTTTTCTCCAGAATTCTGGAATTATTCTGGTTCCATTATTCCCCGTGGGGACTTTTTTGGGAGGGTAGGGGTGCCGGAGTGGCTGCCTTTCAACCAAATGACACCAAGATTACAAGGAAGCTGCCGCTGCCTGTCCACTAAAGAAGCCCCCAACTTGTATTGTAAGGTGTGCTTTCTGCTGCCCCAAGTTACCAGATCTGCCCAAGGAGGGTCTTGAACTACTGTGGGGAAGATTCCCCTAGAGTGTCATAGGGGAATCAACATATTCCCATTCCCAGAACTGCTGTACTGGGGATGGGGAGGAGGAATCAAAATGTGTGGTGTAGTAGTCAGAATGGGAGGGTCTTGAACTACTGTGGGGAAGATTCCCCTAGAGTGTCATAGGGGAATCAACATATTCCCATTCCCAGAACTGCTGTACTGGGGATGGGGAGGAGGAATCAAAATGTGTGGTGTAGTAGTCAGAATGTCAGGCTAGGCTCTGGGAGACCCAGATTCAAATCCACACTCTGCTTGCGATGAGAAAACCATTGAGTCCAGGGTGGCGTCTGCTGTATAGGAAATGGCTTTTAGTACCCTAGAAGCCCCCTCCATCAGTCTGGCGTCATTCTCTGGTAATAACTGGATCAGTTTGCGCATCCAGACTATAGCCGCCCTTGAGACTGTGGATGCCGCCGCCGAGGATTTAATGGCCATTGCGGTTGCCTCGTGGGCCTTCTTAAGAATTAGCTCAGCTTTCTTATCCATGCCATTGCGGGGGTTTCCCTGACCTTCCTCCGACACCAGGTTAGATGAGTGGAGGGCTGCCACTGGTGCGTCAACCGTTGGCAGCTTGAGCATCTTAGACGCTGCGGAGGTGGTGGGGTATAGCTTCTTAAGTGATGCGGGGTATGATCTATAGGACATGGGTCTCTCCCATTCAGATTTGATTTTTCTTACGTAAAAGGCCGGAAAGGGGAAGGCTAGCTCGGAGTAATCCACAGGTGGAAAAAATTCGGCTGTTACCTCATCCCCCTCCCCCTCGTCTACCCCGTCCTTAGTGTCCAGTGGTGCGCTTCTGGCATTTTGAATATGCAAGGCGGATAAGGTTTTGGATAGGAGATATGGGAAGTCCTCCGCCTGGAAGAAGCGGTGTGACTGATCTTGTGGAGGCGGTCTCGGGGCCTTCTCCCCCTCCTCCCCTGAGGAAAATTCCTCTTCATCTTCGTCCTCCTCCTCCCCTTCTACACTGGAGTCCTGTGGACTGTATTCCCCCTCTTCCCGGTCCTGGAGGACCACATGTGGCCTGTGGCTATTCCTCGGTGCCTTAGGCGGCCGGGGGGCGGGGCGTGTTGGCCAGTTGGGGTCTGGGGAAGGAAGCCTAGGTCTCTTTTTGCCCCCTTTTTCCCGACCCATCTCTGCCCTTATGGTTTGGCGCAAAAATTCCATGGCCTCTGGGGTTAGGGAGGGGGGGCCGCGGGGGGGTACATCACCAGTCCTGGTTCCTTCGGTCCCGTCCACGTCCTCGGCGCCGTCATCCTCCTCCTCCTCCTCCTCCTCTCCGCTTCCACCATGCGTCGAGGTCCCGGCATCCCGGTGGCTGGTTGCCGTGGCGGAGCCCTTTAGGTGCCCATGGGCCGTAGCCGGGCCGGGGATGTGCTCGTGTGCCGCAGCAGAGCCCAAGAGTCGCCCATGTGCCTTAGCGGGCGATTTCGGTGGGGATCGGCCAGTCGAAGCGCCCCCCGAGCCGATCGCGCCAGACAAAGGCGCCTTCAAAATGGCCGCCGCGACCCCCGAGGCCGAGGCTCCTCTCGCGTCTCTCTTCGCGCTTCGGGTCATCGGCGGCTCTCCGTAGGCATTCGCGGCCGCGCGCTTGCCTTTCGCGGTCTTCGTCTTTGCTCCCGGGAGGATAAGGAAGCCGTCGTCTTCCGCGGCCCTTTCCATGGCTCACGGAGTGTTTGCTCGGCTTCCGCGGCTCAGCGGCAGAAGAGAAAACCTGTAGCGGAGCTCAGGCTTCGAAATAGGAGGAGGAGAGATGCGGCAGGAGGAAAAACCTGGAGCGGAGCTCAGGCTTCGAAATGGGAGAAGGAGAGGGGGGGGGTTGTTGTTTTTTTTTTTTTTGGAAAGGAAGAACCAAGGATTTAAGATCAAAGGAGGATGAAATGCCTAAAGGAGGTTGAGATACCTAAAGGGGAAAAGAAGGGAAGAACAAAGGTTAGAAAGGACAAAGGCAAGATCAGTGCAGGCAAAGCCTAAACTAGCTGCTCTCCCTCTTGAGGCAGGAAACGAACTGGAGTAGGGGTGACTCCCACCACAGGAAACAGGAAGTTCTTAGTAAGTTCCTGCCTCCCTTGAAGATGGATGGGAATCACCCACACAGGATGTCCTCCACATCAGAGGGAGAATGTCAGGCTAGGCTCTGGGAGACCCAGATTCAAATCCACACTCTGACAAGGAAACTTTACCTTCACAACAGCTTCGTGAGGTAGGGAAAAGGTTACCCGGCAAGCATGGAACACGCATGCTTGACTCCCATTATCTCTAATGGGCCTTCAAGCCTGTCCCATTGTTTCCAATGGGCAATCCCGTCATTCCTTTTATTACATTCCCTTCTGTTGTGGGTCTAGGGTGCCTGCCAAGCTGCCGTGAGGTTACTTTGCGGATCCCCTGTTGAAACTCTGGGGGATGTCTGCCTTTCTGTCCTTCAGAACCTGCCTTTCGAGACTTGGGGGGGGATGTTTGCCTTGTTTCCAGTGTCTGGCTGGGGAGGGCGTCTGCCCAGGTAAAGTTTCCCTGTGAGTTTGGTGTCACTGGCTTCTTCCTGAGCTCTTCTATAGACTCCTTTAAGACCAACAAAATTTTATACATGGTATAAGCCCGTGTGTGCTTGCACATGAAAGCTTATACCTCGAAAAAAAATTATTGGTCTTAAAAGTGCCACTGGACTCAAATTTTGTTTTCCATAGACTCCTGTAACTGCAGCTGTCTTTTCCAGAGAGTACTGGGGAGAACTTTTTTGGGGTAGGTAACTGGGACTCCAGAAATATAATCCGCCTCCAACCTGAAGAGATTGTAGAGGAGTAGGTAGCAGGGTGAGGTTCCCTGTGCATTGGGTGCATGTAGCTTGCAAGGGGTCCATTCTATACACTTTTGAACCTGTGCCTGACATTTCCTGCAAAAGCACTTTCCTGGGGGTGTCTTCTTTGGGGGGCAATAACTCAGACCCTCAACGTTCAATCTGCACATAACTTGGGGGGGGTAAGTAGAGGAGCATCAGGGGGAAGTCCCCTGCGAGTTGGATGTCTCTACCTTAACACAGGGCACATTCTATACACTCCAGAACCTCTGCCTGTCATTTCCCCAGAAAGCACTTTCCGGGGGGGCACCTTCTTGGGGGGGGCATAACTTGGACCCCGTAAATTCAATCCTCACTGAACTTAGAGGGCAGGTAGACGAGAACCAGCTGGAGACTCACTGTAAGTTTGGTGTCTGTAGCCCACAGGGGGGCCTGCTCTATTGCATCACGAACCTCACAAAACGAACCAGTGGAGTAAACAAGGAGGCTCGTGAAGCTTCGTGCAACTCCACGAACCTTCATGCACCTTGGTTTCCCCAGTTCATGCCTATCCCTAACACACACACACTGAGGATTTTGATAGCCATGATTAGAAGGAGTTACTGAATCCGAATTCCCTGGATGTGTGTGCTGAAAAGTTTAAGAAAACCTTCCATGCTACCTAGTTCTTATGCCACACAGAATATTTGAAATGTCTTATAATAAACTTCCCTTGGCACTAACACACGTTTATATGTCATTGTGTGCATGGATACAATAATGTGACCACTGAGGACGGGGCGAAGGCTGGAACATGTTTGGTCTTGTTTTGATGTGGTTCAAGGTTGACATGAGACAATATTGGATTGCATCATGTTATAAAGATTCAGGACTTCTTAGTTCAAATATTCACTGCTTCTAGGGTAGAATGTGCCTATGCTTTTAAAGCAGAGTTATCGTGCACTTTGTAATAAACACATATATTTTGTTTAATACATTTCTCTTAATTTTCTCTCAGCCAACCTTTGAGTACCCATCCAAGTCAGGATTAGGTAAAATGACATCCCTGCCATTCCTGGTTGTAGAGTTCTCTGTGCTGGAGATGTGGGTGATGGGGAGACCCCAATGAGGAAGTGGCCCCTGGCCACTTGGGGGGGGAAGGGTTACACGAAACTGAAAATTATTTTGCTCTTTCCATAAGGAATGATTGCTTCTTTAGTTCATATTTGTCTTCATGCACAGCATCTGGTATTCATCTTCTGCAGTTATGTTGATACCATATATCTAGTGTTCAATCTGCAGGATGTGGTTTGGGTTTTAAATCGATACAATTAAATGCTACTGTGCTATGCAGTGTTTACATTTTTGCAGACTTCACAATCCCACACCGGGTGTGACAATTTCCTCTTCTTCCTAGAGAGCAGCCTTGATATCCTCCAGAACCAAGTGCAAGATGCCTGATCCTCTGTGAAGGAGGCAATCCTGCCAGCCTCTGCCCATCTCCCCAGTGACACACACACCCCACCCCGTACCTGAGATGGCTCCATGGCAGCTCTTTTCCCTTCACCGGACAAAGGAAACGGTGGAGAAGGCGTCAAGGGTGTCCTTTCACTGCTGCCTGGAAGGGAGAACAAGAAAGAGGCTGGGAAGCCGTTTTTACTGCTGCCCATGCATTTCTCCCTCCCCACCCCCCAAAAGATTGCAGATGGAACAGTCTTTTTCCGTCTACACTGGCTTTCAATTTGCTTCCAGGCTCAGTCCAAGGTGCTGGTATTGACCTTCTACAGCCTGGGATTAACCTACTTCCAGGACCATCTTCTCTCATATGAACCTACCGGTTCACTCCAGTCATTCTCGGAGACCCTCCTTTGGTTGCCCCCCACCATGCACGCGGCTAGGAAAGCATAGCCTGGGCTACCATAACCTGTTGGGTTATTATTTAATTTTAAAATGAATCAGCAGAGTAATCAGCAGAGTATTAAAGAGGCAGAGTCCATGGTGTGTTTAAATATAAACATTTACTACAACCTAGCATGGGGAAAAGGTACACGGGATGTAAAATAACAAAGAGCTAATATTCCTACATCCTTACAGCTAGACAGAACATGGCAGAAGAGAGTGAAGACTAACTTCTTCTTGCTCAGGACAAAGAACCATAAAATGCTAATACTTGGCACTTTGGTCTCCAATCAGAACAACAAACTAGATCTGAAGTTACCGGGCTTTCTAACTCTCTAAACTGATTGGTTATAAACAAACATGTAACTTAACAAACATCATTAACCCAGTAAATACTGAACAGTGTTTTATCTTGTAACACCCAACACTCCTTTGGTTGCCCCACACCATCTGAGGCTAGATGGCTGGTGACCCGAAAAAGGGCTCTCTCAGCCATGGCATGAAAACTTCGGAACTCCTCTATCTCTGTGTTTGGCCAGCAGGTGGATACTTTTTCCTGTTTCATCTGGTATATGCCTAATAACTGTAACTGACCCTTCTCCCTGGTTCTGGTGTTGTTTGTTTTATTTGTTTTTATTTGAATTATTGTATTGTTTTTAATGTTTGTAATTATTCAAATGTTTTAACGTTTTTGCATGTGCCCCGCCTTGGGGACCCTGATCAGATGAAAAGGTGGCATAAAAATGTTTTAAATAAATACACCCCATTCAATCCCCCATCACTTCCACCCCTCCTGCGTCTGCTCCCTCCTTCTTTCCCCAACCAAAATCTCCCCCTAGCCCCCCCCTTCCTCAACGTGCCCCTATGCAGCTGGAAGCCACCTGAGTCCCAACCAACCTTCAAAGGGTCCAGTTTGGGCTGCTACACCTCACACCTTTGGAGAGGCCTTGTTGCTCTGCACAAAGAAGCCAAGAGACTCCTGCTGATGCAGGAGTCGGGATCTCAGGGGAGAACTGGGGGGGAGGGGCTCTCTCATCCCCTGCTTACCCAATTCCTTTGTCTCTACTTTCCATCCTGTGTTTACAGCCCTTCCTCCTCTAAGGAAGTGTGTGTGCTCATGAAAGCTTATACCATGAATAAAACTCTGTTGGTCTTAAAGCTGCCACTGGATTCAGACTTTGTTCAGCACTCCCCCGAAGCCTCTTTGAGTCCACCAAATGCCTCCCAGCCAATCAGACAGCAGCCCAGGAGACTCAGAGGTGGCTTCAAGTAGGGGAGGCAAACAGGAAGTCGCTTTCCTAGGTCCCCTCCCCCATTTGCCTCTCTAGGACAGCACCTTCTCTTGGGTTAACTCTTAAAGAGAGCATTTCAACAGTGAAAAAGACAGTTGGAAAAAAGACAGTCAACGGTTAAACAAAAAGAGAAAGCCAGGCGAGGCCCGTGAGCAAGAAAATGTTCCTAATCCAGTGTTGTCTTATGGCTGTTTGTTCCACACTCCAGGCATTTATATGGGGTTTTTTGCCCCTATGCATAAATGCTTTGATGAGAAATCAGCATATATTTCATGGAGTGAAACGTTTCCCCACACATTTAGGATTTCTATGGTTTATCCTGTGTGCAAATTATTTCATGTGAAGTGAGGCGACTTTTTCCTGTGAATCTTTTCCCACTTTCCAAGCCTGAGCGGATCCCTCATCGTGGTTCTTCTCCTCTTCTGCTATCGGGGACTCCTTGCCTCTTGGGGTAGCAGGGGTCAGCCTGACTCCCAGTCTCTTGTACCCCTTTTCATCCTCAGCACCCCTCTTCTGTTTGGGGTATCTTCAGGTACCCATTCAGTGAAAGAGTCCCTGGGGGCAATCTTTCCTTCAACTTCCCTGCCTGGAGGGGGTCTTCTGTGATGTTCCGCTCAAAGGAATTCTGGGACCTGGAATGGGCTTTGCAGGCCCTCCTAGGAATCAACAGCTCCCCAAGGCTGTGCTGTCTGTTTTATTATCATGCCAGGCAAGCCTTTCATTCAGTTAGCAGAATATCAGTACAGATTATAGCGAGCTTTTTGGTCTTCTTCAGCTTCCAAGCGCTCAAAAAATTCCATATCTTTTGCGTCTTAAGGAAAACCCTTGGTGGAAAAAAAACACTTCTAAGGCTCTGTAGATCTACATCCAAAGATTTCTTCATTTCAAGCTATTTTGGTTATTACAAAATCACTCCACTAGCCAATTTTTTATTAAAAGTAACGTTTTCTGACTGCATACATATATCGAGCCACTGGATGGCAGTGCAGAGTTACTCTGGGATTGTCCTTTCAGACTTCCCTCTCTTTTATCCAGGTGGGTGGTCTTTTATTGAGCCCTCTTACGTTGATCTCCTGCAAATAATAGCAAAAGGCATTTTAAAATGGGCCCAAAGTTTTAAAATTGTTTGCGTTCCTTCATCACAATTTATATATTAATCCCAAGATCTGATGGTGCTTAGAGAACAAAGTGCCTTCAGAACAGGTGAATCCTTATTTTCAATTTCTGCAGTTGCGGCGTTTTCCAAGACGAAGCACTCCAAAGTCTTGTTGACCCACGCTGTCCGCTACATCCATCTCAGAAGGAGTGTCACAAACTCCCTTATTTTCTATTGGCTAAAGTCCACCTGGCTTCAAAATGGATTCCATCTGAGCCGGGACGTTCCCATGCTCTGGAGGCAGAATGACTGGGTCCCCAGGGCAACTTTAGCAGGCTCCGGATCAAAACCATGGCTGGGGGGGGTGGGTGCGATTCCGGGTTGGGAAATTCCTGGGGCCTCGAGAGAGCAGAGTTTGGGGAAGGAGGTCAGCAGAGTTGTGATGCCATAGATTTATCCCTCCAAAGATGCCATTGCCAGGGGAACGGATATCTACATCTGGAAATCAGTTTCAGTGCTGGGAGAAATCCAAGCTCCACGTGGAGGTTGACAAACCCACCAAGGGGAAGTGTGTGCGTACTCACGTGCAGGTTTAGATCTTTCGAGGCAGGGCTCAGCAAGATGCCTGCCCTGACCTGGAGAGCCCAGGCTAGCCCTATGCTGTCAGGTCTTGGAAGCTAAGCAGGGTGGGCACCTCCTTGCCTTGAAAATCCTAAGGGGGGGCTGCATCAAGTCAGCTACAACCTGATGGCAAAAAACAAACTGAGGCTAGGTTGGTGGGTTTTTGTAGTGAGGCAGTTAGGAAAGGAAGATATCAGTGACAGGCATGGGAAGGGTTAAGTTCACTGTGTCTTTTGAGCTTTATATGTTTCTTAAAATTTATTCTTCTTTGACCTTCAACCTTTCCCAGCATCAGGGTCTTCTCCAGTGAGGCCTCCCTCCTCATTTGGTGGCCAAAGTATTTGAGCTTCAGTGTCTGGCCTTCCAGGGAACAGTCAGGGTTGATATTTCCTTTAGGATTGACTGATTTGAGCTCCTGGCAGTCCAGGGGACTCTCAAGAGTCTCCTCCATAGAGATGTAAAATTTCTGGAAATTTTGAAGCTCGGGGAAAAACCCGTTTTTTTTCGGGGGGAAATGGAAAAATTCGGAAAAATTGAAAAAAATGCTACATTAGCACTTCTTTTGTCTTTTCTAGATTGAAAGTCATTCTGTTACTTTAGGAACATAAAATATGACTATGGACATTTTTACTTGGCATGAAATTATCACAACTAGCATATTAAAAATATAGTGTGTCCAAACAATTATTACAAACAGAATACCCGCCCACACGCAAAAACAAAACTGAAACTTTTTTATTTTCTTCTGCCAATCGCACCTCCTAAAGGAAGAAATGCATCTTGTTCTTGCATTGGAGAGTTCAGTTTGTAACCTAGGACTTGCTTGTCCTCAGTGGACAGAAATTAGATCAATCTGATACCATATATATATATATATTAGAAATGATTTGAAAAATATTTGAACACCTTGTCTTAAAATATTTTATTCATCATGATAAAATAAAATGTTCCATAATCAATTTTTTTCTTTTCTTTTTTCAATTTTTCCAATTTTTCGGAAAAAAACAAAAAAGCTTCAGGAAAAAAACGGGCGAAAAACAGTTCTTTTCCGAATTTTTCAGTTTTTTTCCCGGGCCTTCACATCTCTAGTCCTCCAGCACCATAATATGAAAGCATCTATTCTTCGGTGCTCTGCATTCCTTATGGTCCAACTCTCGCAGCCATATATGACTACTGGGAATACCATCGCTTTGACCCTGCGGACTAAAATGGGACTTTTGCAGAGCAATCCTAAACAAAGTCAAGCCCTTCTAAGCCCACTGACTTCAAGAGTCTCAGAAGGGTTCAACTCTGGCCCTGTCCACATGGAGGCACTCTCCTGTGGTTCTTCCATTATTGCTGTGGCTGCTGATGCAACACACTGACATGGGGCTTCCACACAATGAGTTTCTCTGCAGATCCCCTGCCCCAGCCCTGCAGTGGCCGTTGCCCCCCTTCAAGTACCACCTGAGGGCAAAGGCACCTCCCCACGGCAGGGGGGGAGGGAAATGGCCATTGTGTAGACGGGGCAGGAAAAAATAGAAACCGATGTGGGTGGGACCAGGAGAACCTGGAATATCCCATCTGTATGCTGACCATCCCGGTTTTGCTGTGACCTTTCCCAAAACATCACAGATTTGGGGGAGATTGCAGAAAAGATAGGAGAGACTCGGGAAGGAAAGGGGGAGGTTCTTTCATTTTCCAATAGCATCCCTGCCATGACAAATAATTGGATGTGTGAAAAGAGAAGAGAGAAGGGAAAAGGCACATACAAGCCAGCAATGGGCAGGGGGGGGGGGGGGGTCACAGACATTTTACTTCAACCAAGGTTAAATGTGAGGTCAGAATGCAAGTAAAGTGTACCACAAAATGGTTACGATCCCCCACACACACAGACTCAGAAAGCTCTAACAAGGTTATACACATAATTCAAGGGACACTGATTACCAGAACAATCTTTTTTTTTTTTAGCCCCCCGGAGGGGATTTTTTATTACCAGAACAGTCTAGTTGGGGGCGGGGGGAGCTATTTGATCCTTGGTTAGGCCTGCGTCAGGTTTTGGGAATTCATTTGATATGCAGTTCTTAGCTACAGACCAACTTGCCCTGACCTAATTTTTTAAAAGCCAAGTTTTCAAAGAGGTTAGCTGAAGTTGAGTTTTTAAAAAACTTAACACAGGCATTTCACTTTGAGTTGACCGTGAAGACTAAGACTTAAAAACCAAACTGTGGAGAAATTTGCATTGGTCCCTGACCCAGCCATCATTACTTGAAAACCCATTTTCATCCCATTTCATTGTCAATAGCTCTTCAGTGGAATGATTAAAAAAAACCCGAGGAGAGGCATGGTAGGCCTCCCACAGCCAGACCACGCAGGGGAAGGAGACCCTTACCTAGAGAGGCCACATTCCCATAATTCTCTACCATAACGTCTCTGTAGAGAGCTCTCTGGCCCGGATCCAACAGAGCCCATTCTTCCCCAGAGAAATGCACAGCCACCTCTTCAAAGGTCACAGGCCCCTGTTCAGGAGAAAACAACCACACTTTTTTACCACATCAGACTGTTTATTTTATTTATCACATCTATGGACTACTTTTATGTGAGAAAAACAATTAAGGGGGTTCACCAAATCATAGACACCACAGCCAATAGAAACAATCGATCAGTTATAGAATAATTCCAGATGGGCAGCCATGTTTGTAGCAACAAAACATAACAGAAGTCCAGTGGCACCTTAAAGATTGATGGTGGCTAGGGTTGCCAAGTCTAAATTTCTTACTGGCGGGGGAGCCTCGCCGGGCTCCGGGAGCCGTCCGGTGGTAAGCACGTGCCGCAAGCACGCCACCGGAAGTGACGCGCGACGTCCATCACGTTGAGTTTTCCCTCCGACGATCAGGGCCATGCCCCCAACGTGATCGACATGGTTGTGTCACCTCCGGTGACGCAGCCACGCTGCGCTTCGGGGGGCGGAGTTCCCCCCGGGGCCCGATTCCATGGCGGCGGAAATCGGGCCTCCAAAGCGGGGGTTTACCCGCCACCCGCCCCCACTTGGCAGCCCTAATGGTGGCGGAAAGTGCCGGCAAGTGGCAGCTGACTTATGGCGACCCCATAGGGTTTTGAGGGCAAAGGAAAAACAGAGGCAATTTGCCATTGCCCACCTCTGCACAGAGACCCTGGGCTTCCCTGCTGCTGGTCTCCCATCCAAGTACCAACCAGGGCCAACCCTGCTTAGCAGCCACAATCTGACAAGATCAGGCTAGCCCAGGCCATCCAGGTCAAGGCCATGAAGGCCTACTCAAATTTATTCCAGCCTAAGCTTTCATATGGAGAGGTGACACGATAACCATCTTCAAGTACCTGAAGGGCTGTCATACAGAGGATGGTGCGGAGTTGTTTTCTGTTGCCCCAGAAGGTCGGACCAGAACCAACAGGTTGAAATTAAATCAGAGGAGTTTTCGGCTAAACATTAGGAAGAACTTCCTGACAGTTCGAGTGGTTCCTCAGAGGAACAGGCTCCCTCGGGAGGTGGTGGGCTCTCCTTCTGTGGAGGTTTTCAAGCAGAGGCTAGATGGTCATCTGACAGCAATGCTGATTCTGTGAACTTAGGCAGATCATGAGAGGGAGGGCGGGAAGGGTTGCATCAGTGCTTAGTTCTTGTGGCCCTTCCTTACATGTCCAGGGAAATGCTGATCGACACTTTGGGGTCAGGAAAAATTTTCTCCAGGCAACTTTGGCTAGGGATCCTGGAGGTTTTTTTTTTTTTTTTTTTGCCATCTTCTGGGCGTGGAACAGCAGTCACTGGGGATATGGGGGGGAGGTATTTGTGAATTTCCTGCATTGTGCAGGGGGGTGGACTAGATGACCCCAGAGGTACCTTCCAACTCTATGATTCTATTCTATGATTCATGAGTGAGTGCTCATGTCTTCAGACACCTAGGTGATATACATCCCAAATGCATCTGATGAAGTGAACTCCAACTAGGAAAAGCTTATGCCAGAATGAACGTGGCTGATCTTTAAGGTGCTCCCGTTTCATTTCATCTTAAAAAATAAAACTCCAATCCACAAAACCGTCAAATTTCAACTCAGACTTCCCACTTAACCAAATGAGCCATTACTACTAGAAATCAAAAGTTATGAAGACCACCAGATGACACTGAAAGCTCTTCAGAGGCCATTAAAAGCTTGGCAAGAACCTCTTAACGTGTTGGCTCCTGGTACGTGACAGCTTGATATTCAATGTGATGGAATCCAGAACCAGGCCTGACTGGCAGAAAGCTGGACATAACCGTGGTCCTCAGCCTCGCTGAGCCTGTAGACACTTCTGGAATTCTGAGAACAGGTAGCAGGCACCACAACAAAATGGTGGCCATGGAGACATGGGAAGTGGCTCTTGTGAGACACCTCCTTCTCCAGTAAGGTGGAGAAAAGCTAGGTTGGCTCATTGCTTTAGGGAGCGATGCCTCGGGGAAGGAGCCAGTGGACATCAGAAAACATATGGGTGCCAACCTTGGGAATCACACTGGGTATTAGCAGGGCTTTTTTTGAAGAAAAAGCCCAGCAGGAACTCATTAGCATAATAGGCCACACCCAACAGCAGAAACCCATTAGCATATTAGGCCACACCCCAAATGTTACCAGAAGTGTGGTCATCCAACCACACCCAACTTTTGCTTCTTATTCTGTTTACTTTGTTGTCAAAACCCTGGGCTTTTTTTGTAGCAGGAACGTCTTTGCATGTTAGGCCACACACCCCTAATGTAGCCAATCCTAATGAGTGTCTGCTGTTAGGTGTGGCCTATTATGTTAATGAGTTCCTGCTGGGCGTGGCCAACTCAGGAGCCAGCCGGAACTCCGTTCCTGTGCGTCCCTGCCCAAAAATAGCCCTGGGTATTAGTGGAATACACAGAAGCATTGTTCTGAACCTACCTTTGCAGCATGTGGCCATCAACTGAAGGCTATTCTCATGCACACTCAGTAACTCTTGGAACCATAAGGACAATGCATTCTCACCTGCTTCCTCTCCTCTTGCTGTTGCTTGAACAGAAAGCCTTCTGCCAGGGCTACTGCCTGGTCATACATCTCAGGGCCACACTTCCTGAGCCAGGACTGCATTTTCTGGGGAAGGGCGGCCAGGAACTTCTCCAGGATCTGCTTCTGTGTGTGCTTGTCTGCCATCAGCCCCTAATGGTTAAACAATTCGGAAGAGTTAGGCCTGCCAGGTTGCCCACTATAGCTGGCAATGATTAGGGGGTTGGAGCACCTTCCCTATGAGGAAAGGCTGAAGAGTCTGGGACTTTTCAGTTTAGAAAAGAGATGACTAAGTGGGGACATTAGAGGTTTATAAAATTATGCATGAAGCAGAGAGAGATGACAATTTTTTCTCCCTCTCCCAAAATACTAGAACTTGAGGGCATCCAATGAAATTGATGGACAGTAGGTTCAGGATGAACAGAAGGAAATACTACTTTAAACAGAAAGTGACTAAAATGTGGGTAGATTCATGGAGGATAGGTCTATCAGTGACAACTAGCCATGGTGGCTGAGGGGAACCTGCCCATTCAGAGGCATTAATCCTCTGAATCCCAGAGCCAGGAGGCTACATCAACAGAAGGCCTCAGCCTCTATGCCCTGTTGTTGGCCCTCCAGAGGACCTAGTCAGCCACTGTGTGGGACAGGATGCTGGTGGAGCTACCAGTCTGATCCAGCAGGGCTCTTCTTGTGTTCTTACAACTTCCTGCTGCCATTTGGTAGGCTGGCAGGAGTAAAAATAATACTAAAAATCACCATCATGGCAACGGCATAATTATGGGCCAAGCCCAGTGACATCATGCTGCTTTAGGATTTAGCAGAAGCTCTGTGATAGGGTTCCCCACAGTGGCGTCCACAAATGCCACGGCATTAAGGGAAATGGGGTGTAAAAATGGAAGCCAGGAAGGAGGCATAAAACAGGAGCCGTGAGGAATTCTGGGGAAGAATTTAGCAAATCCTGGCAGAGGACATGGTTGCCTCACACTCACATAGCCAGTCATTCCAGCACATCTGCTACCAGGAGGCCAAGGGCCCCCGAGATAGTGGTGGGCATGTTCTGTCTACCTAGATACCCAGCAGTTTTATCCTGTCCTTCCTCTGTGGGCCTGCGTTTTCCTCCCCCCAATTTTGTCCTCACCGCAACCCTGTGAGGTGTGAAGGGCTTGCATTTTCCTCCCCCCCATTTTGTCCTCACCGCAACCCTGTGAGGTAAGTTAGCCTAGTAAGCCTTCATTCTGTGGCTTGGGACTCTCAGGTTGTTCCTGGAGCCACACCTGCTCCATTGTGACCCTCGATGGAAAGTGCCGTCAAGTCACACCTGACTTACAATGACCCCATAGGGTTTCCAAGGCAAGAGAAGGTGGTTTGCCACTGCCTGCCTCTGTGCAGCCACTTCTTTGGTGGTCTCTCACCCAAGTACTAGCTAGGACTGACCCTGCTCAGCTTCCAAGATCTGATGATGCGGTGGGTGGGGCTGAGAGAGCTCTGAGAGAACTGCCCTTTCAAGGACAGCTCTTGTCAGAACTATGGCTTGCCCAAGGTCATCCAGCAGCTGCAAGTGGAGGAGTGGGGAATCAAACCCGGTTCTCCCAGATTAGAGTCCACGCACTTGACCACTACACCAAACTGACTCTCTCCCCACTACAATATGCCTCCTTGTACTTTTTTGTCCCTCACTGCCCCTTTTTACACCCCACTCAGGAGAAGGTGCTACTGGATTCGAATCAAGCTCTTTCACATCACAACAGTCTACTTTGACTCGCAGCTGCTCCCCAGGGCCTTGGGCAGAGCAAGGTCCTTCATTCTTTCCCAACACCCAGGAGCCTTTTTAACCTGGAGAGCCAGCAGGGACTGAACCCGAGACCACCTCCACACAAACCGGTGGATCTCTTGGCGGTTTGGGCTAGATTCGAATCCAGTAGCACCTTAGAGACCAACAATAATTTCAGGGTATGCGAGCTTTCAGGAGTCCAGTCTCATTTCATCGGATACCTGCAGATCAGCATGGCAAACCCCTTGAAACGATCTTCAGGTAGAGAAGCGCATCTGATGAAGGGAGTGCTGGCTCCAGAAAAAACTTATGCAAGAATAAGGTGTGATAATATAGGTATGCCAGCCTCCAGGTGGGACCCCCTGGAATTACAGCTCATCTCCGGACTACAGAGATCAGTTCCCCTGGAGAAAATGGATGCTTTGGTGGGTGGATTCTGTGGCATTGTACCCCGCTGAGGCCGCTGTCCTCCCCAGGCGCCGCCCCCCAATTCTCCAGGAGTTGCCCAACATGGATCTGGCAACCCACCCACCCCATCCCCTGAATAAAACTTCGTTGGTCACTGGACTCTGTTCTCAAATAAAGTAGTCTTTAAAGCATCACTAGACACCTCTTTATTCTTACTGCCACCCCTCTGGAGACAGAGAAAAACCATTTAAGTGGAGCTACCAGGGACAAGACCTTCTGCGTGCACAGCAAGCGAGTCATCCATTGAACCGCCCCCCTCCAAATCACCGTCGCCGGCTTTCCTCCATCGATGCTCGGAGTCCCTTGAACTCACTCCACCCTGCCCACATCCCTCGCCCCCCTGAAGTCGGAGGGACACAAGGCGGCATCCGGACACCCTTCCCAGCACACCCAGCCTATTTCAGTGGATAATTGCATCCCTTAGGAATTGGTGCAACCTGCTCCGGGAGCCGGCGATTTTGGCTGAAGGCGCAGGGGCTATAAAATAACATTAAAAGCCTCACCGGCGGCTCCAAGCATCAGCTTCGCCTTCTTTTCCCACGTGCTGTTCGAAATCTCCGTCTGCAGCAAAAACAGCCCCCGTTCTTTACGCGCTTCCAGCATTAAACTTTACCTTCCCGGAGGCTCTCTTTAAATGTAAAGTTTAAAAAACAAAAAAACGTTTTTGCTATAGAGATGACAATGATAGAGCGTCGCCATGACCGAGACGACTTGCACCATAGAGTTGCCGAGGGAATAAAGCGTAGCGGAGTATACCAGAGTGACACACACTTCCGGTCTGCCTTCGCGTTAAAGTGCCATAGATCTATGAGGAGGTAGAGCGACACGTTGCTACCTCTATAGAGCCGCTAACGTGTACAAAGAGAGGCGACTTCTTTGTCTGGAGATTAAGACTTCTTGGTTACTTTTGGCGCCATCTTTGTTTCCCCCCGTTGAGAGGCTCAAATGCCCATAGAAAGGAATTCGTCCATCGCTTGTTTTGTGTGAATAATACTGTTGGGAGCCTTCTTTCAATAATGAAAATGCATACTTTTTTCAGGGGTAGATCCCCATTTTGTGGAAGGGCTTGCCTGAGGAGGTCAGGAAGGCTCCGACGCTTCTGTCACTAAGCAGACTGCAAAACCATAATATTCAGGAGGGCAATTTTGTGATGGGGCTGGAACTGCAGGACAATGGGACCAGTGTTCCCTCTGAGTTGAGCTAGTGCGAGCTAGCTCGCAGTTTTTTTAGACTCTGGCTTACACATTTTTTGTCTTAGCTCAGGAAGGATGGCTCCAGAGGCAAACTAATTTATGCAGAAGCCAAATCACCCGCTCACAACTTTAATGCCAGTAACTCACATGCAGCATTTTTGCTCACAAGAATCCACAGCTTAGAGGGAGCACTGAACAGGAGAAAGAGCTCTTTTCTAATGGAAAAGGACTGTAGTTCCCTGCACTGATTATTGTGGGGAATCAGCTGCTTTTACTGCATTGGATTTACATTGTATTAATTTATAGTATACCTTAAATAGTTTGCATTGTTCCCTGATTCTGGTGTATGTAGCCCGTTGGTCTGAAGCAGAAGAACAAAGTTTGAGTCCAGCGGGACCTTTAAGACCAACAAAGTTTTATTCAAGGTACAAGCTTTTGTGTGCATACAGGCTTCTTCAGAGACATTGAAACTAGGGCTGCCAACCTCCAGGTAGTGGCTGGAGATCTCTTGCAATTACAACTAATCTCCATTTGACAGAGGTCAGTTCACCTGGAGAAAAATGGTCACAAAAGTATTCTGACTTCTGTTTTGGGTGCATTCAGACTAAAGGGGGCAGAAATTTTACGTATTTTTGTATATTTTCTAGTGTAAGGTCTCATCTGATGAAACCTTGAGTGAAATGGTCTATTGAGCGCTGTACCGTATTTCAAAGGAAACAACTTTAATGGTTAATTAAAGAAGATATATTTCCCCCTAAACATGGCCCCGGTCACACGGAGGATTTGCCGCGGGAGAGGCACAAATGTCAGGCGGAGTATACGGGCGAAATCACAAGGACACATCTGGCAAGCGTAGCACACCCATCGCCAACCCACAGCATCTGCCTGAAGATCCGGAGTTAAAAAATACCCAGGAAAGCCTACTAGCAAACGGTTTGCTACGGGCTGTCAACGGAATACCTACGTGTGATCGCTCAAGCGCGCTCCTCTCGCTGTGTTGACGTGCGCCGGAAACGCGCGCCGACAAAACCCCGATTTGCCACTGCCACGTCTGATTGCGTTCTGGCGCGTTAAATTGCACCGGTGCAAAAAGCCATACCGCCCTCCCCCCACCGTGTTATCTGGCCCGTGTGACCAGGGCCTTCGTTATCTTATCATGGTAGTGCCCGGAGATTTCCCACTATTACAACTGATCTCCAGGCAACGGTTCACCTGGAGAAAATGGCCACTTTGGAAAGCATTATATTCCATTGAAGTCCCCCCCAAAAAAAAAACCTGTCCTCATGAAGCTCCACACTAGTGGCTTTCTGTTTCAATGTACCTGAAGAAGTGTGCATGAACTTGAAAGCTTATACCCAGAATAAAACTTTGCTGGTCTTAAAGGTGCCACTAGATTCAAACTTTGTTCCCTAATTCTGTTAATCCGGTCCTATTGCATTCATTGTTCCCTGGTGGTTTTATGCCACACTGTTTTATATCCTGCAATGACCTGACCTGGATGGCCCAGGCTAACCCGATCTCATCCAATCTTGGAAGTAAAGTGGCCAACCTCCAGATGGTGGCTGGAGATTTCCTGCTGTTATAGCTGACCTCCAGGCAACAGAGATCAGTTTGTCTAGAGTGTAAATGGCCACTTTGGAAGGTGAACTCTATGGAATTATACCCCCATTGAAGTCCCTCCCCAAATCTTTTCTAATGGAAAAGGACTGTAGTTCCCTGCAATGATTATTGTGGGGAATCAGCTGGTTTTACTGCATTGGATTTACATTGGATTTACATCCAATGCACCCTCCTCAGGCTCCACCCCCCAAAATCTCCAGGTATTTCCCAACCCAGAGCTGGCAACCTTACTTGGAAGCCAAGCAGCGTCAGCTGTGATTAGTATTTGCAGAGGCAGGCAATGTTTGTTTCTTGCCTTGAAGATCTTACGGGGTCGCCATAGGTCAACTGCCACTTTTTAACAAAAAACCCACCTTGAGTCCCAGCGAGGAAGTCAGGCTATCAATAAGTAAAACATTGCCTCCTGGCTCTGGGATTCAGAGGCTTAGTGCCTCTGAATATGGAAGTTCCCCTCAGTCACCATGGATAGTAGCCATTGATAGACATATCCTCCATGAATCTATCTAATCCCCTTTTAAAGCTGTTTATTCCTGTGGACAACACTATATTCTTTGGCAGCAAATTCCATGTTTTTAATCAATCTCTGCGTAAAGTAGTATTTCTTTTTGTACATCCTGAACCTACTGCCCATCAGCTTCACTGGATGCCCTCTAGTATTATATACACACACACACACATCATGACCTGTGGTCATTATCATTTAAAAAGCAATGGTTGTTTATTGTATATTTGTAAGCTGCCTCATGCTCCCTGGCTAGAAAGGCAGGATAGAAACCAATGAAACGAATAAATACTAATAAATACCTCTTTCGTCAGAATCCCTCGGTGGGAGGGAACTCTGCTCAAAGCAAGCTTCATTTTGGATAAGGAGAAACAACAGCAATCACTCAGTACCCTCAACAAAACACCTCAAATCACTAGAATGTATACATCACAAACGGAATGGCCCCCGGGGATAAACTTGAGGTGAAAACTATGTAGAAAGGGAAACGCTGAAGGGCCCCCTGGGCACTGACACTTGAGTGGTGAGCGGCCATGGCTGTGCCCAGGTACCCAGCCTTATGGAAGTGGACCAGCATTGCTGGAAGCATGCGTTGATTTATGGTCTGATTATCTCATAACTCATGAAAAGAATTTATCATCTTGGACTAAACATGCCAGGTCCCTGCAGCGACGGTCACACATCTTCCTCCAGCTCACAGGACGCTTCGTTAGGCACAAGCGGCTCCAGTATAACAGAGACAGCATCCTCTTCATCCAGGCTGTACTCCGCCACGGTGGCATCAGCAGGCGGAGGTGGTGCGTAATCGTCACTGGTGCATTCTGGAGGGCAGTGCTCGCTCGGGATCGCTTCGTTAGGCACAAGCGGCTCCAGTATAACAGAGACAGCATCCTCTTCATCCAGGCTGTACTCCGCCACGGTGGCATCAGCAGGCGGAGGTGGTGCGTAATCGTCACTGGTGCATTCTGGAGGGCAGTGCTCGCTCGGGATCCATTTTTTATTTGACCGTACAAAGGACAGAGCGGAAACACCAGCGGGAGACAGCTGGGTCCGAAGCTTTGCCACGCCTTTGCCGGAAGTGGAGAAAAGGCGCTCAGAGGGAATGCTAGTCGGAGGGCAGGCCAGTGTACTGATGGCCACGGAAGACAGGCACGGCCACACGCCGCACTTTCCTTCCCAATAATGCAATGGGTTGCTGTCGGGCAGCAAGAACTCCACCGGAATCTCGTCGCTGACATACGCTTCGAGTTCTTGTTGGGCGCTGACCTCGGGCTCCTGCTCGAGGAATGTGTTTTGCCTGACTGGGCGGGGTGTAGGACCACAGAGACCCAGTTTTAGGACTCCTCTCGAGAAGACGGAGCTTTGGCTGTTCTGCAGGGCTCTTTCAAAGAAAAGTCTGTCCTGGGACACGATCTCTTCCCCCGCCACAGACTCGGCACGCCGCGCGTTCGCAGCTCGCTCGCGGCAGTAGGGCGTCGTCTGCTCCAAAATGTAGGCATGCAACGCATTGTAATTCTCTTCCGCACTCTCCCCCAGGTAGCTCCTGATTTTGTCTCTGAACCGTGGATCGAGAAACGTGGCTGCGTGGTACCTGACGCTGACAGACATGGCGCGCAGCTGCTTGTTTTTGGTCAGTTGCTTGAGCACCGTGTTCCCGAAGGCCACTGATGGCAGGGATGCCATGGGGCCACTAGCAAAGGAGGCTATTTTCTCCTGAACGTCAGCTGTTATCACATGGATCACAGGGAGAACCGTCCCCAGAGTGGCATCGCTGTGGCTCAAAAGTCCCGTGCACTCGTCAAAGGAGTACAGTAAATCTGCAATGTTGTGCATTAAAACCCATTGATCAGGGCGGACTTGGAGGTTGCCGTAGTCCTTCTTGCACACATACTCATTAACGGCCTCCTTCTGCTCGCACAGTCTCTGGAGCATGTGCAGAGTGCCGTTCCAATGTACGCCAACCTCTCGGCGAAGCCTATGCTGAGGAACGCCTCTCCTCACCTGAATCCTTCTCAAGGCTTCCTGTGCGTTGCTAGAGTTGTGGAAGTGACCAACAATTTTGCATGCCAGGTCCACGACTGTCCTGACACACGCCGGCGCCAGCTGTAACGCTGCCGTCACCACCAGGTTCAAGCAGTGAGCTATGCATCGGATGTGGCAAAAGGCTGCATTTCGGAAAGCCTTCACATAGATCGAACCGTTGCCGGTCGTGATGCTCCCCAGTCTCAGACTGAGGGGAGACAGCCACTCCTCCACCAAGGACCGCAGTTCAGTCAAGACGTGGTTAGCGGCGTGCTTCTGTGTCAACGGCTCCAGAACCAGAGTGGCGTCCCAGTGCTCAAGCGCT